TCCTCAGTCACTTTAACTTCAACACACGCTATAATTCACAATGATTTACACACTTTACATACAGCTTGACTCGATTATCTGTCTATATCTTCAATCTCTCTCTCTACTATTCCAGTTCCGATTAATTGTCTCGCTTTATATACAAGAATAGAGGGCGCCTAGAACGCACTAGCCTCTTCAGGAAGCTTCTAGATACTCATTACGTGTTACCAGCGTCACGTGACTTCGGCTGTTGTAACAACGATATATGTTTCTGTGTGAATTAGTATTTTATATATATTTTTATATAACATAAAAGCGTGTTTGCACATGTATTTTTAAATGCATACTATTGCGTACTTATGTAATTTAATGACGGAAAAAGTGAAGCGTGTAGTAGTTAACGATACCATATATTTCTATCTCTTTTTAAAAATTTGGTTTATTTTTGTTATTGTTTTTTAAGCTTAGAAAATTATGGAAATCCTGAACCGCAAGGTTAAAAATAATAATAATGGGATTATCTCGCACGTACGAGATAATGCCATTATTATTGTTTTTTAACTTTGCGATTTTTCCGTAGATAATACTTCAAATAACATGTCGTTAAAAGGTTTTTTGTTCATTTTTCTTAGTTAAAAATACAAAAGAAAGTTGTGAGCACCTCCACTGTACTGTCCACTACTTACTATACTGACTACTAGATGGCGATAAATTCTGGAACATTCTTGATTAGTTAAGAATCGTAAAAATTAAGGAGCCTTTTTCGTTCTAACAAACATTCGTGTTTGAGTTACAGTTCTCGTATCTTCTGTGGAAACTGATAAAATATTCACCTTAAACCCAGTCTGCGAGTCCTGCACTCTATCTTTTCTTTTTTTAATTTTAATAGGATTTGGGTTTGCGATCTCTGGAATATAAAAACCCACATTCAAATAAAAAATCTCGCACAAAACATGGCAGGTCCTATTTCTTATCTCTATACAGTCGTTTTCTCTGCGGTTTTTCGCGAGTTGTTTCGATGGAGATGGCCGAGGAAGGTTCAAAGAAGCATACTAGCCGCTGTAATATGGCTAAATGCGGTACCTACCTGATTATGAGTACTTCTGCTATTCTGTACAAAAAGAACAAAGTCCTATGCACAATGCAGTACAGTGTGATTTTTGAAGTTAACAGATGGAGTACTTTATAATAGTACATTTTTTCGGACTTTAACTTAAATATCAGAAACCATGACATTTTGTAGTCCACACACTCCCCCGAATTCGGTCTCATGCACTCACTAAGTGGGTGTTAAACTTTAATATCGTATTCACATCAAGGCTTATGAATTACAACTGTTTGAAAAAGATAAAAAAGAGAGTAAGAATAAGAAAAATAACATAATAAAGGTATGTAATACAACTGTTACCTATTAGAATTTCGAATAGTCCGAAGTCGAGTTAACTGATGATTTAAATTTAGTAGTTAAATTGTACTTTGGATTTAGTATTTAAATATATGACGATATATTAGTCAATTTACGATATTTGCCAACAAAATTGATACACACCGTCTTCGTTTTTAACACAAATACGTTTTAATATACACACAACAGTATAATTTACAATAACAATTATTACAAATAGTTATTACAAACAAAGATTTATAAACAAAAGTTTCACAAACTTACAAACAATATAGAATCTTCTTTCTAGTTTGGAACTCCCTTAATATCTTATCGAGGGTTTACAATGAGCGAGTTAATTACGAGTTGATGTAAGTACGATTAGCCAGGAAGCTAGCTAGCTTTGTCCTTGGCCACACACGCCAGGTTTTCCACTGTTGATGTTAAGTAATGTTTTCGTAAAAATACTAATGTCCGATGAGAATCCACTGAAGTTGGACGATTTGTAATGTTCGAAATTTATAAGTATTCCTGGTCAAATATCTTAAGTTTTTCG